TGAGTTTGCAAACGAGAGATTTCTCTTCAACTTCAAATCTTGGGGGCTGCACCGTAGAAACTTTTTCATCCAAGAAGCCAATAAGAAAAGCATTACTCGCATACATCTGAAATAATTCCCAATTACTAGTGAGGGCAAGAGTGGTAATGAGTCTGATAGTAGCAGGTTTAACAACAGGAGAAAATGTTAGAGCCACGGACTTGATGAAACCCTTTAGCCACTAATTGAGCTTTGTATTATGAAACCCTGCAGCCTAGAATTATAAAATCCAGACTTATACCTGGTTTACATGAGATGCTTATTAACAGTTCTGGGAAAGAAAATCAGTGGATGCAGAAGACTCAGAAGGGGATGAGGAGCTAGACTATGTCTTTGAGACAGTGGGTGACACAAGTGAAGGGCTGCCTTGAACGTTATGGTCACCAGTTTCAAAAGAGGGACTGACTGCTGTGAGGGTGTAGCAGCAGGTATATGAGAAGGACTTAGTGAGACTTTACTGGACAAGACTAAGACAGGTAGAATAAAATTGACCTGCTTTGATACTAACTCAAGATAAATAAAAAAGAAACAATGTTCTTTTGCGAGCTTATTTTGCCTCTCTTAGGTTCTCATGTTTATATATTAACTGTAGATTGTTCTCATATAAAATGAGGAGAAGAAAGAATAAAAAACAAGTAAAGGCATATCTAGGATCCTAGGTAGAGATAGGTACAGCACAAAACAGCTTTTTAGTAAAGCCTGTTTTAGGCCTATTCTAACAGCTAAGGAGATTATAGAGAACAAGGTTTTGCAAGTAGTAACTTAATGACAATGGAAGTGATTATGTGTTGGCTGATAAATATTATTCCCAATTTTCATTTGAACAATTGAAGGAAAGGATGACAATGAAGGCTGCCTAAGCTGGATGTGATGAAGATGTCTTAGAAATTGAATTTAGGGTCTAACTTAATTTTGCAAACTTTATAAGCTTTTGTTTAAGGCATATTTCTAGTTGTGGGACTAATCCACCGACCATGAGGCTGCAATTAAGACAGCCCTCCAAAGATGTCTCAACTAAGGATGATTGCAATCAAGGAAGCTTTCAAGCAAGATGGCTAGGGTTTTAGCCCGGATGCAGAGCCCCAAGGTTGAGCAATCTAATACCTACTTGGAAAATGGGGAGAAGTGAGTATCATTTTCTGATAATTTAAAGAGAACAAGCATCAGTTTTTATACAACTTCGATCATAATGCTATGCCCGAATTATGGACATCAAGTCAGACTTAATAACCACAAACAAGGAAACCTTGACCAATTAATCCAAATGAAGGAAGATATCTGATTAAACCTGTATATAAATAAAAAATGCACAGGTTACATGTTATAGCAACAAGGAAACGTTGACCAATTAATCCTAATGAAGGAAGATATCTAATTAAACCTGTATATAAATAAAAAATGCACAGGTTACATGTTATAGTACCATGCTTGTGCGGCATCATTCTCATCACCATTACACTATACCTCTTCCTCTCGTGGGCTAAATGTAGTCTGGCATTCTTTGGCACATATTTTTGTAAAATATTTAGCTTTTCTAACATGTAGATTTTCATTGTCTTTAAAGAAAAGTTTATAAGCCTCTTGTTCAAGATGTTCTGTTTTAGAATTTTTCTCTCTTTTGACCTCGTAAAGTTTGTTTATTTGGCCATTTAGCTGTTATATGTGTGTGTGTGTATTCACAAATTTTGAATGTGTACATTATATCATACTGTAGTGCTGACCTGAAACCTGAAAATATTTAGTTCATGACTTCATTTATTTCTTTGTTTTCTATGCAAATTGGTAGGTCATTAAGAATGAAGATCTTGAGGAGCTGCGAGAACTAGGTTCTGGTACCTTTGGGACTGTGTATCATGGAAAATGGAGAGGAACAGATGTTGCTATTAAAAGAATAAAGAAGAGCTGCTTCACGGGTCGGTCATCTGAACAAGAGAGATTGGTAACTTTTTATTTAATGGATGTTGTATAGGATGCACTATTCTTTGTTTTCATTAAAATAAAATAAGAAAGCGATTCTTCTGTCATTGAATTTCTTTAACCATGATACATTTTGAGGTGAGATGATATTTGCTTCTTTTCTCAGACTGTGGAGTTTTGGCGGGAAGCTGACATTCTCTCCAAACTTCATCATCCAAATGTGGTTGCATTTTATGGTGTGGTACAGCATGGACCAGGTGGTACAATGGCCACTGTGGCAGAATATATGGTGGATGGTTCTCTTAGGCATGTATTACTTCGCAAGGATAGGTAATGCTTTTGAAATAGATTTTGCATCTCTGTTGTAGTGCATAAGATTAAGGCTTTTACTACTGCCTCAAATTTGTTGAAAAGAGATCTGTCCTGTTGCAACTTATTTCTTGGATAGAATGCATGAATATTTATTGGGAAAACTTCATGATTTGGTATAATTGTGTGATAGCCAATCAGATCTACTAAAGTTTATTGAGTCAGCAAGAGCATGAGTTTTAAATTATATGTCCAGTTTTTTTTTTTATATGATTTTTGTTCAAGATTCTTACAATAATTTTATATTTAGGTATCTTGATCGTCGCAAGAGGCTGATAATTGCAATGGATGCTGCTTTTGGAATGGAATATTTGCACTCAAAAAACATTGTGCATTTTGACTTAAAATGTGACAATTTGCTTGTAAACTTGAAAGATCCTTTACGTCCAATATGCAAGGTATGTAGACTGGGTCTGGTAGTATTTTTCTATCAGCATGAAAGATCACTTTTTGTGTTGACTGAGAAATTTTCTTACCTAGGTTGGTGATTTTGGCTTATCAAAAATTAAGCGAAATACTTTGGTTACTGGTGGTGTGCGTGGGACACTACCTTGGATGGCACCAGAGCTTCTGAATGGAAGCAGCAATAAGGTCTCAGAAAAGGTAATATTTCAACTTATCTGTATAAAATTGTTTTCTTCAATCACATGACTCAGTTGAAATTTAATTTAACTAAGGAAATGTGGTCCAGTATTCATTTCTCTTTCTAGACGTATAAATTTCTTTTATCTCACGTGACAATAAAACTACCAGTTCACCATACTCCGGTTATCAGGAAGTTCCTGTTGAATTATTTTTATTTGATCATTTTCAATTTCGAGCATTCAAATTTGCCTATTTCATTCTCTTACCACCTTGAAAATCTTTTGTTGCATATGGGATATTTGTAGTTTACATCTTAATAGTATCTGGGAAGGAAATTGTTGAAATTAATTTTAGTTTGTTACCCTTATCTGTAGGTTGATGTGTTCTCCTTTGGCATTGTATTATGGGAAATTCTTACCGGTGAGGAGCCATATGCCAATATGCATTATGGTGCAATTATAGGTAATATCTTATTCTCATCTTTTATCCTTACTAGTCTTTTTTGTGTCTTCTTGAAATTGACACTTTTTATTCAAGAACAAACATTAGACAGTAGTAGAATATAGCAACACTGTTAAAATTGATATTATGCATAGGATAGGGTAAAAGAGGGGTCAAGTTGTAAAATACCCTAAATAGTACGATCATAACAAAGATCACAAAATTCCATTGAAATCAGGTCAAACATATAGAAGATGCCCCTTGTTGCTTCACATCAGACCAGTGTTGGGTAGGAATGGTTGGGAAACAAAACATGCTATAACCAGATAATGATGGATATTGTTAGTTCTTTATTAAAGAAACAAAAATATACACCTTTTTTAAGTATCTAGCATACCTTCAGCAACTTTCTTTATTGTTCTGGAAATGGATGAAGTTTATATAAGAAATTGATAGAGTAATGCTATTGAATTATAGCTTATTTTGTATTCCTTACAGATTCTGATAAGAGAATCCTTTGGAGAGAGCAATTGGATTAGCTTTCTATATTCCTTACAGTTTTTAATCAGAATCTTTCGGATTAAGCTATTTGAAAAAAATAAAATAGTAAGCGATTCTGTCAAAAAAATTTTTGAACACAAAATATAATGTGGGCACACATTCAAAATCTATACCTACCTTAGTATGGTTGTAGACTTTACTATTGACTGGGCTTAAGTTTGTTTTTAGCTAACTTTCTAGTCTATCTGTGTGGTTCACATTTTGGTTGAATTAATTTTGGAAAAAGAAACTGATGTTGAAAGAATTGGTTTCTATTTGACTGGTAAAGGAGAATCAGTTTTGGAGGGTCCATAAACTTGTGGTTCCTTTACTAAAATCTATTATAGTTCTTAAAAATTGGATTATAAAACCTATTTCAACCTTACAAAATCAAATTGTTACGTGAAGCTCATTAATTTATGTGCTATAATTTGATGATATCTCTAGTCTAGTTCTTCAATACACGAGTCTATGGAAAAAATTATTCAAAAAGGATTTCTGTGTAGAACCTACCACTAATTTGTGTCTCCCCTGACAGGAGGAATTGTAAATAACACATTAAGGCCAACCATCCCAAGTAACTGTGATCCTGAATGGAGAACACTGATGGAACAATGCTGGGCTCCCAATCCTGCAGTCAGACCATCCTTCACAGAAATTGCCAGTCGTTTGCGCATAATGTCTGCGGCAGCAAGCCAAACCAAAACACAGGGCCATAAAACATCTAAATGAGTTATACATTGTAAAGTTGGTATTCATACAGTCATTTAATGGTGATCCAAGGAAGTAACTTACAAGTATGGTTCTATATACTGTAGTCTTTTTTTTATTTTACCATAATAATTTTATACTACACTATGCAAGTTGTATACCAATGCTTCAACAACAGTGCAAAATTTGTCATTTAGTTTCTGTGTATTGTACAATGTTTTTCTTGCTCCTTGGTTTTCCAATCTTGTAATTGCTAACAATGATTTTATTATAGATGGCTATTACTCATGTAGAGGGCAGTGTTAACAATGTGCTAGACATCTCAAAGCGGAAGCAACCTCATTTAAATATAGGCTATTTCTTTCTACACTCCCACAATTACTAACTGTATCTCCAAAATGAAAAGCACGCTTTACCTCTGCACCACACCACCACTGTTGTTGCCATTAAAATCACTGTCCACCACCATCACCATTGCTGGTGTAGAGGAAGAAGAGTGGGAGAATACTGTAAGGGAAGAAGAGAGAAAATGTGAAAAAAAAAAAACTCATTTTCAAAAGTCTGTTTTGAAATGTATTTGTGTTCCGGAAAAAGCTTTTCGAAACATTTTTCATGTGGGGATGTTCAAAAAATTATACCAAAAGACTTTATGAGTTTCGGAAAGGTTTTTTCCGAAACTCTCATTTCCAAAATTTTATTGTTTTTTTTTAGTTTCGGAACTTTTATTTCAGAAATTTTATTCTGGAAATATTGTTTTGAAAACTTGTTCCAAAAAGTTTTTTGGAGTATATGCTTCGAAAGTCACTTTTTCAGAAGGAGAAATGATCATTTTAAAATTTGAGGAACGCACAAAGAAATTGTGGGAGTGCAGAAAGTAAAAGCCTTAAAATATACTTTTTTTTTTCATTTCTCACGATGCAGTGGTTGAAACTTTTGTCTCTTTTCAGTTGTCTGGTTTTTTAATTTTACACGTCATCACAAGTGTCTTTTTAACTTTCTTCTAAACAATTCTAGCTTTACCATAAATGTAAATAATAACTTTACATATCAATGTCATATGTAATAATCTTCAATTCTTTAATTATTAGTTGATAAAAAGCTTGTAAGGTTACACATNCAATCAAGGAAGCTTTCAAGCAAGATGGCTAGGGTTTTAGCCCGGATGCAGAGCCCCAAGGTTGAGCAATCTAATACCTACTTGGAAAATGGGGAGAAGTGAGTATCATTTTCTGATAATTTAAAGAGAACAAGCATCAGTTTTTATACAACTTCGATCATAATGCTATGCCCGAATTATGGACATCAAGTCAGACTTAATAACCACAAACAAGGAAACCTTGACCAATTAATCCAAATGAAGGAAGATATCTGATTAAACCTGTATATAAATAAAAAATGCACAGGTTACATGTTATAGCAACAAGGAAACGTTGACCAATTAATCCTAATGAAGGAAGATATCTAATTAAACCTGTATATAAATAAAAAATGCACAGGTTACATGTTATAGTACCATGCTTGTGCGGCATCATTCTCATCACCATTACACTATACCTCTTCCTCTCGTGGGCTAAATGTAGTCTGGCATTCTTTGGCACATATTTTTGTAAAATATTTAGCTTTTCTAACATGTAGATTTTCATTGTCTTTAAAGAAAAGTTTATAAGCCTCTTGTTCAAGATGTTCTGTTTTAGAATTTTTCTCTCTTTTGACCTCGTAAAGTTTGTTTATTTGGCCATTTAGCTGTTATATGTGTGTGTGTGTATTCACAAATTTTGAATGTGTACATTATATCATACTGTAGTGCTGACCTGAAACCTGAAAATATTTAGTTCATGACTTCATTTATTTCTTTGTTTTCTATGCAAATTGGTAGGTCATTAAGAATGAAGATCTTGAGGAGCTGCGAGAACTAGGTTCTGGTACCTTTGGGACTGTGTATCATGGAAAATGGAGAGGAACAGATGTTGCTATTAAAAGAATAAAGAAGAGCTGCTTCACGGGTCGGTCATCTGAACAAGAGAGATTGGTAACTTTTTATTTAATGGATGTTGTATAGGATGCACTATTCTTTGTTTTCATTAAAATAAAATAAGAAAGCGATTCTTCTGTCATTGAATTTCTTTAACCATGATACATTTTGAGGTGAGATGATATTTGCTTCTTTTCTCAGACTGTGGAGTTTTGGCGGGAAGCTGACATTCTCTCCAAACTTCATCATCCAAATGTGGTTGCATTTTATGGTGTGGTACAGCATGGACCAGGTGGTACAATGGCCACTGTGGCAGAATATATGGTGGATGGTTCTCTTAGGCATGTATTACTTCGCAAGGATAGGTAATGCTTTTGAAATAGATTTTGCATCTCTGTTGTAGTGCATAAGATTAAGGCTTTTACTACTGCCTCAAATTTGTTGAAAAGAGATCTGTCCTGTTGCAACTTATTTCTTGGATAGAATGCATGAATATTTATTGGGAAAACTTCATGATTTGGTATAATTGTGTGATAGCCAATCAGATCTACTAAAGTTTATTGAGTCAGCAAGAGCATGAGTTTTAAATTATATGTCCAGTTTTTTTTTTTATATGATTTTTGTTCAAGATTCTTACAATAATTTTATATTTAGGTATCTTGATCGTCGCAAGAGGCTGATAATTGCAATGGATGCTGCTTTTGGAATGGAATATTTGCACTCAAAAAACATTGTGCATTTTGACTTAAAATGTGACAATTTGCTTGTAAACTTGAAAGATCCTTTACGTCCAATATGCAAGGTATGTAGACTGGGTCTGGTAGTATTTTTCTATCAGCATGAAAGATCACTTTTTGTGTTGACTGAGAAATTTTCTTACCTAGGTTGGTGATTTTGGCTTATCAAAAATTAAGCGAAATACTTTGGTTACTGGTGGTGTGCGTGGGACACTACCTTGGATGGCACCAGAGCTTCTGAATGGAAGCAGCAATAAGGTCTCAGAAAAGGTAATATTTCAACTTATCTGTATAAAATTGTTTTCTTCAATCACATGACTCAGTTGAAATTTAATTTAACTAAGGAAATGTGGTCCAGTATTCATTTCTCTTTCTAGACGTATAAATTTCTTTTATCTCACGTGACAATAAAACTACCAGTTCACCATACTCCGGTTATCAGGAAGTTCCTGTTGAATTATTTTTATTTGATCATTTTCAATTTCGAGCATTCAAATTTGCCTATTTCATTCTCTTACCACCTTGAAAATCTTTTGTTGCATATGGGATATTTGTAGTTTACATCTTAATAGTATCTGGGAAGGAAATTGTTGAAATTAATTTTAGTTTGTTACCCTTATCTGTAGGTTGATGTGTTCTCCTTTGGCATTGTATTATGGGAAATTCTTACCGGTGAGGAGCCATATGCCAATATGCATTATGGTGCAATTATAGGTAATATCTTATTCTCATCTTTTATCCTTACTAGTCTTTTTTGTGTCTTCTTGAAATTGACACTTTTTATTCAAGAACAAACATTAGACAGTAGTAGAATATAGCAACACTGTTAAAATTGATATTATGCATAGGATAGGGTAAAAGAGGGGTCAAGTTGTAAAATACCCTAAATAGTACGATCATAACAAAGATCACAAAATTCCATTGAAATCAGGTCAAACATATAGAAGATGCCCCTTGTTGCTTCACATAAGACCAGTGTTGGGTAGGAATGGTTGGGAAACAAAACATGCTATAACCAGATAATGATGGATATTGTTAGTTCTTTATTAAAGAAACAAAAATATACACCTTTTTTAAGTATCTAGCATACCTTCAGCAACTTTCTTTATTGTTCTGGAAATGGATGAAGTTTATATAAGAAATTGATAGAGTAATGCTATTGAATTATAGCTTATTTTGTATTCCTTACAGATTCTGATAAGAGAATCCTTTGGAGAGAGCAATTGGATTAGCTTTCTATATTCCTTACAGTTTTTAATCAGAATCTTTCGGATTAAGCTATTTGAAAAAAATAAAATAGTAAGCGATTCTGTCAAAAAAATTTTTGAACACAAAATATAATGTGGGCACACATTCAAAATCTATACCTACCTTAGTATGGTTGTAGACTTTACTATTGACTGGACTTAAGTTTGTTTTTAGCTAACTTTCTAGTCTATCTGTGTGGTTCACATTTTGGTTGAATTAATTTTGGAAAAAGAAACTGATGTTGAAAGAATTGGTTTCTATTTGACTGGTAAAGGAGAATCAGTTTTGGAGGGTCCATAAACTTGTGGTTCCTTTACTAAAATCTATTATAGTTCTTAAAAATTGGATTATAAAACCTATTTCAACCTTACAAAATCAAATTGTTACGTGAAGCTCATTAATTTATGTGCTATAATTTGATGATATCTCTAGTCTAGTTCTTCAATACACGAGTCTATGGAAAAAATTATTCAAAAAGGATTTCTGTGTAGAACCTACCACTAATTTGTGTCTCCCCTGACAGGAGGAATTGTAAATAACACATTAAGGCCAACCATCCCAAGTAACTGTGATCCTGAATGGAGAACACTGATGGAACAATGCTGGGCTCCCAATCCTGCAGTCAGACCATCCTTCACAGAAATTGCCAGTCGTTTGCGCATAATGTCTGCGGCAGCAAGCCAAACCAAAACACAGGGCCATAAAACATCTAAATGAGTTATACATTGTAAAGTTGGTATTCATACAGTCATTTAATGGTGATCCAAGGAAGTAACTTACAAGTATGGTTCTATATACTGTAGTCTTTTTTTTATTTTACCATAATAATTTTATACTACACTATGCAAGTTGTATACCAATGCTTCAACAACAGTGCAAAATTTGTCATTTAGTTTCTGTGTATTGTACAATGTTTTTCTTGCTCCTTGGTTTTCCAATCTTGTAATTGCTAACAATGATTTTATTATAGATGGCTATTACTCATGTAGAGGGCAGTGTTAACAATGTGCTAGACATCTCAAAGCGGAAGCAACCTCATTTAAATATAGGCTATTTCTTTCTACACTCCCACAATTACTAACTGTATCTCCAAAATGAAAAGCACGCTTTACCTCTGCACCACACCACCACTGTTGTTGCCATTAAAATCACTGTCCACCACCATCACCATTGCTGGTGTAGAGGAAGAAGAGTGGGAGAATACTGTAAGGGAAGAAGAGAGAAAATGTGAAAAAAAAAAAACTCATTTTCAAAAGTCTGTTTTGAAATGTATTTGTGTTCCGGAAAAAGCTTTTCGAAACATTTTTCATGTGGGGATGTTCAAAAAATTATACCAAAAGACTTTATATGAGTTTCGGAAAGGTTTTTTCCGAAACTCTCATTTCCAAAATTTTATTGTTTTTTTTTAGTTTCGGAACTTTTATTTCAGAAATTTTATTCTGGAAATATTGTTTTGAAAACTTGTTCCAAAAAGTTTTTTGGAGTATATGCTTCGAAAGTCACTTTTTCAGAAGGAGAAATGATCATTTTAAAATTTGAGGAACGCACAAAGAAATTGTGGGAGTGCAGAAAGTAAAAGCCTTAAAATATACTTTTTTTTTTCATTTCTCACGATGCAGTGGTTGAAACTTTTGTCTCTTTTCAGTTGTATGGTTTTTTAATTTTACACGTCATCACAAGTGTCTTTTTAACTTTCTTCTAAACAATTCTAGCTTTACCATAAATGTAAATAATAACTTTACATATCAATGTCATATGTAATAATCTTCAATTCTTTAATTATTAGTTGATAAAAAGCTTGTAAGGTTACACATAATTTTATTACAATAAGAATTTATATCAAATTGTAAGCATTGTCATTTTTCTAAAAGGATTGCAGTATTCTTATATATTTATTTTTAAAATATTGATATAATATAAAGATAACTTTTTGGATTGTTTAATTATATTTGTAACATATGAAAATGTGGATGATTAAAATCTGTGTTCAATAAATATGAGGGAATAGATTAGAAGACTTGCTGTTATTTAAAAAAATACTTGTAAAAGTAAAATAAACTAACAACGAAATTTTTATAATTTTTTTTTAATTTAAGTTAATAATATTAATAATAAATTATATAGAATCAAATAAGACAAATATTGAAGACATGTCAAAAAAAATATATAACAATAAATTGTTATTGCTTTGATAAAATCAAATTTGAATTCAATGTGCACGAGTAAATGATTGTTGACATAATGATTGTTGTGTTTGGATGTTTTACAATAGGAATATCTCTTTGGTCAATCTTGTGTTTTATGTCTATTTTAAACCTAATTCTTGAGGATTTTGGGCGACTTTGGAACTTCTTATGCTGATAGGATTGGGGCAAACTTGTGGATTGTTATGTGTTGGTCAATATTTTCATGTTTAAGCTTCCCAAATAAATTGTTGTAAACTTTATTTACTTCTTCCAATCTATATCATGCAACAAGGATGTGAGAATAAGGTAGGTGAAGTTTTTGGAAATTCCCATCGCACCATCTTTCGATGAAAAGTTTTCCAGCTAGTCATACCTCTATTAGGTTGATCATTTTTTCCACCAAGAATCTTGTGTTTCTTCTATGAAATTCAAGCATTCAGAGAATGTTTAAATTTGAATAATGTCTTTTATTGTCTTTGATGCAACTTGTGAATAGCCATGACCACCACTAAAAATTTGTTGCACTTGGTGTATGTAGCAATAAGCATGGAAGTGCAAGTCCCCCACTTATGTCTTAGAATCTCGTCAATTCAACTTGTACATGTAGCTTCTAGATTGGTGATCTAATCCTTATGAGAATGAAAGGATCTTGATCAGCTCAAGAGACGTTGGAAAAGATGAAATATCAACAATACAATGGCAGAAACATGTTCCATGGGGTTTCAATCCGAAATTCATTAAAATAAAAGAAAGCAAGAATAAGTTATAAAAGGAAATGTAAGAACACTCCACCTTTGTGATTATTCTCTAAGGATAAATACAATGAGAATTCGTTACTTGAAAAAATTATCAAAAATAAGAATCAAATGAAGCGTAAAACACTTTTCCTTTTAGTGATTATTTTTTACATTGAATAAAAATAAACAATAAACGAAGGGTCACAAATTTAGATTAAACAGACTAAACGTGATATTGTGATCTTTAAGTTTGTTTGCAAAAGAATGATCCAGCCTTCACTAAAACAATAACATTAATACAGTTTGAATGGTCCTAGGGAAAGTATATCTCTTCCTTTTCATATGAATTCTAGGACTGAATTCTTTGGTCAAAAGGTACAATCACAAATAGCTAACTCAAGATGCTTGGCAAATTTTGCATCATCAATGAGGGAAAGTGCAGAAGATAAGGCAGAAGATGACTAGTTTTATCAAATTAGTTGTTAAAGAAACATAGTATTGCAATGAATAACCAAATGAACATTTTTGTCTTTGCTTCTTCTGACTAAGGAAAATCAAACACTTGCCACTTGCCATGCAGAAGACATAATTACTGGCCTTCCTTTCCATCCAAGTAGAAGGTTTCCCTTTTCACTTGATAATGTGTAGCCATCACAGTCATAAACAGAAAGCATCATTCTAACTTGGCTTGTGCACTTCAATGGCATCACCTGAAATCCTGCTCTGCCTAATTGCCTTCTCCACTGCTCTACCCTTTCATGTCTTTCTATTCTCTCTGGACCCTCATAAGCTACAATATTCAGAATTTCCTCTGCAAAGTGTAATCTCTCTATCTTCATCCTTTGTTGGCTGTTTCTTGGCATGCATGCCTCAAGAGAGTCAAATATGGCTGAGTAATAGTGAAGGGACTCCAAAAATCTCCCAAGGAAGAAAGGGCCATTATGGTTTGTGTCTTGCTCCACCACTGTAAAAGCAGTTGGACCTAACTTCTTCACTGACACCAGAATTTCCTTCAGATTGCCTCTACTCTCTTTCACATACTTGTGCAACTGCAAGATACTATTAACAAATAAAACTTCACCTTTTCTCAAGTTCAGCTTCTCCACAGTAAAAACTGAAGGAGATGCAGGCTCAGAAATTGTATGGAATTCAAGGTGCATTCCCAAAGAGCTTGCTTCCTGCACAAGCACATTCATGCTGGTTTGAAGTTTAGAGTTATCTTCATTGTCTGTTAAGCCAGTGATCCTAACCATTGGAGGTCCTTCAGGCCTTGAAACAAAGGCCCTGATCAGAGAAGACCATTGAAGGGTATGCTGCATTCCTAAATCAACAATGTGTATTGAGCTCTTTCCTTGTGATGCTTGGAATATGGCTTCATTTGCAGCCATGAAACCAAAGGCAATGTAAGGTGTGATTTGGTAAAGAAGTTGAAATGCTTCCAGCTTATTCTCCCTATTGATCAAAGGCATATCCATAAAAGTACTTTTTGACAACCTGCACTTCAATCCTGTGGCAAAACAGTAAGAAACTCTCTGCAGTGCATCTCCTGAAGGGCTTGCCAAAGCCCAGATTCTGTTAATCAGCAACTCTGCCTGGTGGTTGTCCCTGCACCCCACAGCTTCAGCACAGGCCAGCAGCATATGAACCAACTCTAACCCTTGCTCCACACCAAGGTTGGCCTCTTTTCCACAATGCACAAACTCAGGTAAAGTACCAAAAGAGTCACTCATTGCAACCTCTTCCTCCAACATAGTCAGATTTTCATACATCTCCAACTCTGAATCCTCCATGGTGGCTGGAAGATATCCAAAGACACCAATCATGGAGGAGTATTCATCAGCATCAACCTCATCCTCATCATTATTCATCACCACAAAGTGGCCAAAACTTTGATGCTTCTCTTGGTGCCCTTTATCTGCTTTCTCATACTGATCCATGTTGATGAAGCTGTCAACAAAGTCATCAACTTCTGATGAAGCTAAACAAGGAGTGCTGGCATCAGAATAACATAATTCAGTATCATCAAACGAATAAAAGATTTTTGATAATTTGTAATGGTTACTCGAACTTTATGTTGTGTAAAACGCTTAACTTTTTGTGCGGGCTTCTTGTTCCATGATTTTTATTTTAAATATAAAAAAAAAAAAGAATTTGGCGTAAATTTTGGATTTTGTGATTTTCTATAGTACACTTACGTGTTAGGGGTGTTTTTACAAAACTCATCTATACATACATCGTTGAGCTTGTTGTAAACACAGAGTGTCAACCTTGTGGTAATCAATTTAAATATTAGTGAAACCATTCCTTAAGTGTGCCATTAAAGGAGAACAGAATTAGCTCAATGAAGAGTGAACTACGTATCAACCATAAGTCCTTCATCGTTGCTTTCGTTTTTAAAAGCTGCTCTGAATTGCTTCTAAAAATCTTTAAGTATTTATCACTACTTGTAGATCGTCAAACCCTTGCAATGACGTCTAACACTTATTAGCAAAAAAAAAAATTAAACTCTATTCAAATCCTTCTTTTATAGAGGTTACCTGTGTTTCAAAATTTTCCAGATATGAAAAATATCTAAGAAAATTTTCCAATATGAAATTAGTTAAAATATTCTTTGACGACATAATGAAAATTGTATTCTAACCAAACAAAAGTATTCTTCCAAATGAAACAAAAAATTAAAAATAATAGAACAAAGAAGACATATTTTTTTTAAGTATACTAAATGAAGAGCTTATTCGTGTTAAAGCAGTTAAACTGAGATGGTAACCTTCGATGTGAGAAAAATATAAATAAATAAAAATATTAAAAAGACTTAGAAATATCCAAATATAAGACATACAAAATACTTTGATTCACATACATCATATAAAAAGATTTAAAGAATAATTTTGATGTATTATTTTAAAGAGTAGGATAACATATATATACATACAAGGGTGCTATAATTCCTCATCTATTAAAGGAATGATAACTGCACAAATTTGCACAAAATATAATAATGTCTAAATTGTAACCATTACAAATACTTTGATTAGCTAATATTTACTATATAATATTTTGACATACAATT